GTAGTCCCCATCTAAAGTCACACACTTTTTGGATAATGAGTAGCTGCCTCATATTCACTTGGCTTTCCTCAATGTCATGAAATCTTATTCCTTTCAAGTGGGATTTGATTTCTGAAGAGGAAAATTTCATTGATGGAAGCATTCCTGAAACTCCTTTTTTTTTGGATAGAGAGTAGCTGCCTCATATTCTATTGGATTTCCTCAATGTCATGAAATCTTGTTTCTTTCAAGTGGGATTTGATTTTTGAAGAGGAAAATGTTACAAGGGGCAAGATCAGTGGAATTTGGTGGTTGTTGAACCTGAGAAATGTTGTGCTTGCCCAAAAACTGCTGCACAAGCTCTGGTCATTGATGGAACCTCTATGGTGTGGTGAGATGACAACTCTCTAAACACTTTCCTTCCAAGCATTACTATAAACAATGGAAGTGAGCAAGAATGTGATAACTTAATGTGTATACACAACAGAGTTAACCTGTCCAAGCAGCTTCACTCTGCATAACTTAGCTTCATTACCATAGCAAAAGTCCTGATACTTTTTTGATCAGACCTTGTATTCATAATATAAATACAGCTTCAAATGAATCCCTGACTTCTTGAAGAGCTAGTTGTACTTAGTTTTTATTTACAAATGTCAAGTTTGAAACTGTATTACATCATACTTTTATGAATTGTGAAAAAAGGACATCATCAGCAGTATGCAAACAAAACAAAAAGGTCACTTGTCCTTAAAATAAAAAAAGGAACTGATTTGATAAGGAAAAAAATTCTGAGATACGTAATGAGGAAAGAGTTCTTGAAGAATATGACTCTCAGAGGACATAGTGAAGGCAAGAGGACAGAAAATCAGTGAGTAACCTTCCTAATAAGCTTGTATAAATGTCAGGCAGAACATGGGCTGCAATGGACAGTAACAAGACAAACTTTCCTTATAGATACTGTGGTGATAAAAAAGAACTCTTCAAGCAAGATTGATCTCCCTTTTCTTTTCAGGAATGAATTACTCTCCTTTGTTTTGCTTTTCTTTTTGTTATATTCCGTGCTAATAGGTATATATACTTGAAAAATAAGGTGGATAAAATAGGTAAAGGTTTATTGTAAAAACCTGTACAATAAGAATAAAGGTAACAGTTATGCACAAGGTCATTGCAAATCAATCCAGCAGTGAGTGCTACTATTGCAAGGTCACTAGTTCTCACGTAAGTCTGAGACGTACTCAACAGATCCCAGCTAGAGCGTGTAGTCCGTTGACTTACACATACTTATAGCTAGTTACTATTTATAGTGTAGTCATCCATGAGGGTGACAGGTTATTCCATTACATCACTTATCTTATATTCAGCCATTTTCCACTGAAACTCGATCCCTGTGTAGATTTTAGTCGAATAAAGCTTTTTCAAGATAAACAGATTGACTTCTTCTATTACAAATACTAAGAATAGAAAAATGTAGAAAGCCAAAACTACCACAAAGGACATGGCACATGAAAAACGATCTCATGACTAAAAACTTCCAATTTTTTGGTTAAATGTAACCATGCAGTAAAATCAAGGTTACATTTCAACATGATTTCTTAAATATCACTTATTCATATATTACTGTTAAAATGATATAAATATAATGAATAACAAATAAGGGATAAAATGTAGCATAAATATTATAATTAATAACAAAATATGAGAAGATAAAGGAGTTGCTGCACTTTAGATGGCCTCAAACATTTAATATTAAACAGAAAACTGCTAAATGTATTTCCTTTCCTTGATAGCTTTGTTTAGTCTGGCATAATACAACAGCCAATAAGAATCAAATTCACTATTTATGAGGCAGTTTTTCTAAAGATCTTTCCTCTATTACAAACACTTCTTTTCATTATATAATCAGCTAAAAGACAATTTGATAAAGTCAGAAAATTTGAGCATATTATAACTAAAGATTACTTATTCTAAATACCACTTAAATAAAAAATATACATATTTTATTGATCCAGTTACTTAAACCCTTGATCACTGATTTTTATTGTATGACAAAAGGTTGATCCTGAAATTGTTTATATTTTTATATTCATGGCTGAACATCCACAAAATTTCCAAAGTTTATGCCGGTTTGCTATGAAAGTAGACATTACTGATATTTCAATTAGAATATACCAAAAACAACCTTTGAATAACTAACTAATGCAGCAGAATGGGTGTGCTAGTACTATAATAGTTATTGGCCAGACTGGAAATTATGGAGAGCCATAATCGCCAATGTCCTGAAGGGACACAGCATATAGGAGGAGAAGACGGAAAGTTGAATCAGCCAAGTTCAATTTTTGTCCTAGTTTGTGGTGTTTTTTTGGTACTATATGCTTGGAAAAGGCATGAACCCATTTCTTTCCTCCTATCCAAATATTGATTAAATAGCAATATGAACTGGGATCCCTAGCTTTGGGTAGCAGCCTATGAAAACATAGTTGTAGAGAAGGCAACAAGAAACTACTCCACTATCTTTCCTAGCAATTGCTCACAGTTCTTAGATAATAAAGAAAATAAATTTGTAAAGAGCTATCATCACTTACATTCTGAAAGGACATGGCATTTAAAAATAAAAAATGCAGTATGAATAAAAATATTAAATCAGAAAAGAAAAGTATTATGCAGAATGCTAATATAACACTGAGATGAAAGATATAGACTGCAAACAATGAAAATGTGTATTTTTTTCATTTTTTTTGTCATTAGTAAATTGCCTTAAAATATAACAATTTTTTTAAAATTTAAGTTACACTAAAATGAAATTAAAATTTTATCATGAAAAAGTGGCATAAAAATATAACTTAAATAAAGATAAAAATATTTTCATAGAAAAAGGAACAAATAAAAATTTAATTTAACAATAAACTGTAAAATATGACCTGGTATTTATTACTTAAATATATGAGGGTGTTTGTAAAGTAATTACATATTTCTCCATTATAAATTACAATAAACAACCAAAACAGGACTGAGGTTGAAGGGTAGGTAACTGTGTCTAGAATTAGTTTATTATCTCTTTTATCCAAAAGTGTGTTGTTTACAGTACATTTTAGAGTTTAATTAAGAAAGCTTGCAATGAAAGAATTTGAGTATCTTATTAGCTTTTGTTTGCGAATAAAACATCATTTTCTACCAATTTTTGCAGCAGTTTTAACCAGAATTTCAATCTTTCATTTTTATATTGCATTCATTTCATACTGGTGATAAAAAATGGGTTTTGCATGACAACAGAAAATGGAAAAAACAGTCTATCACAAAATGAGAAACCAGTGTCAACAGCCTAACCAGGGCTCCATCTGTGGAAGTCCTTGTTTTGCGTATAGTGAAGTATCATAGATATTGTCCATTATGAACTTCTGGAACATTGGAGAACCATCACTGCAGATGTTTATTACCAAGAATTTGATCAGATAAATGAAGCATTATGTAAAAATGTCTTGCTTTAAGAAATAGAAATGGTGTTATTGCATGACAATGCAAATGTACACTCTGCAAAAGAAACCCAAGAAAAAAATAAGATCATTAGAACAGGTGGTTTTGTCCACATCTTCTGTACTGACCAGATTTAGCACCTAGAAATGTTTATTTGTTTTGATCACTAAAACATTTCATAAGAGGGAGAACATTTAGAATTAAAGAATAATTTGAAAAAGTTACAAATATTTTTGTAGAAAAATGTATATTTCTTTCAACATGGAACCAAAAATTGGATAGCAGTCATTAAAAATCAAAGTGATTACATTTTTGATCAATAATATTAACTCCTTCCCAATCTTTTGAATAGGAGGGCAGGTGTATACCTTGTTCCCTGTTTAGGATTGGGTTTCCAGTTCCTTCTAAAGTCTTTTCATTCTCTTTCACTCCAAGTAACTCCTTGCATCAGTGGCATTATTGCCTTACTTAGGGAGAATTGATTAAAAAAACCCCAAAAAACCCAAAACAAACCCCAAAAAACAAATCTGTTTTTATATCCTTTCTGGTAAAACATTATTACTTTCCAAACACCTTAATATTTACATCATCATTTCTTGATTTACACAAAACGAATATATCTATTTTAGCATTCAATTTTCTCAAGGTGAAGCATTATAAATTATTGAATTTTTATGAGTATTTGTTTTTCTTTTTATCCCAATTCTCAGATCATCATTTTATGATTTGGAAATAAGCATTGTTGATAAGAAATGACTAATAAGCAACTAGTAAGATTTGAACTAGTATCTCTTCTCCTTGGGAGATTGAATTTCAGTTCCAATACCTTACGTATTAGGCTTAATAATAATTAACAAACCTGCTTTGGTGTATACAATTTATGGTTACTAAAGAAATGGCAATGTAGTGAAGCCCCAAATTTACAAGCTTTCATACATCCCCCACTTAATTTGTTAGCAAGAGTTAATGAAAAGGTCTGGATTTTATACAAAAAGAGCAAAGATAAAATGCTGATATTTTTAGGTTCTATAGCACAGTAGGAGAATTATTTTATAAAATCACTTTTTTTATAGCATTTATCAACTCAAAGCTGACCAATTTTCTTCTGATTTTAAAGTTTATAAGTGAAATATTATTCTTAGAGTCAAATATCTCACCAGGCTTGGAATTTTTTTTTCTTGGAAGGAACACATATTTTTATTTATTTATTGATTTTTCCATATACCAGAATATAAAACCATCTTCATGATTTTTTTTTTTTTTTTTTGCCTCTTCCTATTTTTTCCTGTCTCTTGTGTTGGAGTGGGGGGGGTGAAGTAATTTAAAGTCTTTTGGTTCTTATCACATGGTATGTATTCCTAATTTTTGTAAACACTCAAGCAATAGATAAAATAATAGGAAGATATCACCTGCAAAAATAGATGAAAATAATTGTAAAAAATATTGAAGTTAGGGGAAAAAAAAACAGTATAGAGATGGAAAGAGGTGTCCAAAAAAAGAAGAGGCTAGATCATAAATTGAGAGAGGAGGAGGAGGAGAGAGGAGAATGTTTAAAAAAGAAAAGGTAAAACAAATTTAAGACAGTTTGGCATCTGAGAAAGAAGCAAAAGAGAAAAAAAAGGATAGTAGGAATAGAAACGAGACGGGAAAAAGAAAAAGAAGAAAAGATTTAAAAAAACAATAGCTTGAAAAGGGAAAGGCAAAAAAACGAGAAAAAAGGGGAAAATATGAACAAAAAAATGATTAGAAGGAATTAGTAGAATGAAATGAAAACATGAGAATAAGGAGAAAAAGGAGCCTGAAATAGTCAGACGGGGGTGCTGAAAAGGTCTCAGTCCAACCCACCTCTGAAAATCTGATCAAATGAAAATTTCATATTTTTTAAAATCTCTTTTTGGTTGACTTGAGACATTTTCAGCATCTCATACGAGTGAAGAAAATTGAGAAATAAAGAGTCAATGAAAAGAGGAAGAAAACAGAGAAAGAAAAAGAGGAAGAAAACAGAGAAGGAAAAAGAGGAAGAAAACAGAGAAGGAAAAACAGGAAGAAAACAGAGAAAGAAAAAGAGGAAGAAAACAGAGAAAGAAAAAGAGGAAGAAAACAGAGAAAGAAAAAGAGGAAGAGAAAGAAAAAGATAAAGAAAAGAGAGAAAGGGACAAAAAAGAGAGAGAAAACAAAAAAGAGGAAGAAAAGAGAAAAAGAGGAAGAAAAGAGAAAAATTGGAAGAAAAGAGAAAAAGACCAAGAAAAGAGAAAGAGAAAGAAAAAGAGGAAGAAAACGGAGAAAAATGAAAGAGAAACAGAAAGAAGAAAGAGAAAGGAGAAAGAAGAAAGACAAATAGGATGTCATTTTGTTTTAAATCCAAACTTGTACTGTTAAAGGTCAAGAAATTAAAGGATCGAGAGACATGCTAAAAAAAATGCATAGGAGAAAAAAAATGAGAGAAAGGTAATAATTATAGGAAAAATAAATGAAGCTAAGAGGTAACGCATAAATTGAGAAAAGACAAGAGAAAGAATAAATGGAGAGTTAATAGGACTGTAAAAGAGAAAAGAGAGAGAGAAACAGAAAAGAGTAAAAGAAAAAGACAATTGGAGAAGGGAGTAAAAGACATATGATAAATCGATAGGAGGAGAGAAAAGACTGAAAAGACAAAATGATAATATGTAATTAAATAAAAGGTTAGTGTGATAGCATTATTAATAACAATAACAACTATAAATATTATTACAGTTTTGTTTTTTTTCAATCATCATCATCATTATTATATTGGTAATGAAAACGGCGATAAACTTCAACAAGGCACTTTAGGGAAGTACGTATTTCTGTTTGTATAAAAGAACAAGTAAAAACATCAGATTAACAGACGGAAAGAAAGTTCGGAATTGGATTAGCAAATAGATTAAGACTGACAAGTTCTATTCTGATAAAGATGTCAGGAAAACGATGATGAAGCATGATGATGGATCAAACTTTGGTGCAGGTGATACTGTCTTATTACTGAGCAGTAATCAAAATATATATATATATATATATATATGGGTGTGTATATACAGACACTTCTATTTTATATATTTCTGTCTATTCTTTTTCTATGGATACATTTATATATGATGGCTTAGCTTTGTGAACAAAGCATTGTGAGGACTTTCAAAGTCTCTTACAGGGACTCAAGTAATTTGTAAGGCTTCTAGAGGTGAGGTTTACTTCTCCACAACCACTGCACAAGGGAGTTTGACACCAGCAAAGGCTCTAAACTTGCAGAACTGCCTATTTTCTCTTGCTCTTTTTCTGTGGTTTGATTCAGTGAAGGAGTTTGCATTATAGATCCTGTGCCTCCATATATAATACTTTGGCTTTGGTATTAGGCCTGGATCACCGTTTTTATGTGTTTAAAGTCATAAAAGTTATCAAATGACTATTTTATTAATTTGAACCTTTCCCTACACCACCACCATCACCACCTAAATCTGTGGGTGGAAGACATAAAATGAAAACATGTTCAGTGGATGGCAATGTGTTGCATCAGAAAGTATGACAATTTTAATTCTTCTTCTATGTGCTGTATCCTTTCAGGATGTGGGCAATCATAGCTCTCCACTATTTCCTGTCCTTTGTAACTCTTAACAAATTTTGTCTTTTGTTACCTCTCCTAAACCTTATTCTGCCATACATTTACTCAAGCTTGCTAGGTATGTTATTCATTGCTTTCCTCTGTTCCTCTTACCTTCAATATGTCATGTGAGTATCAAATTTTCCAAACTCTCTTTCTTCATTATGAGCCCTAGAAAAATCAACCCTTTCTGATGTTAGATATAAGCATCCTTTTTGTTTCCATTTTCTCTAAAATTTCACCGTTGCTCACATGATTGGTCCATGATATCCTCAGTATACTTTAGTAGAAATTAATTTTTACTGGTTTAAGCTTCTTCATCTGTCAAGAGATTGTCCAGCATTCATTGCCATATAGGAGGACAGATATTACTTAACAGCTCAGGACATTCCGAAAATAGGATACTAATTTCTCAGCAAAAACTTTGGATATGCATAGATAAACAATGTATATTTCACTTATAGATTTCAACATTGATAGTGAACCTAACAGAAAAGGTAGTCCTACTCTGTGTTTTTGTGTGTATCTCTCCCTCTCTCTTATATATATTTTGTATAACATGTTTCATCCTCTAGAAGGACTTCATCAGACTAAAGTAATATTTTTACTGATGGAATTATATATTTGTAGGAAGGAAGATGTTGAAATGCTGAAATTTAAATTCTTTTTTCATTTTACCATTCCTAAATTTTCAACATTTCCTATCATTGCATAATTATAAGCAGTGCCTGTATTTTTATGTCTTCCCTACACCTTCCCATATATATTATTCTGTCAACAAAAAACATTCATGAATTCATGTAGAAGACAAAATGCATTGCACAGAATTTTTTCCACTTGACCATTCATTTGCCTAACATTGTTCTGATCATATTCGCCCACATATTGTGTGTGTGTGTGTGTGTGTGTGTATGTATATATATATATATATATATGGGTGCATGGCTGAGCGGTTAGAATGTTCACTTTCTGACCATGAGATCCGGGTTTTAAAATCACAACCCTGAAGACTGGAAATTTTATCAAGAAACATCGATGTTAGGATAAAATTGATATTGTATTGAAAAGTAATCTTTTTTATATATATATATATATATATATATATATATATATTTAAAAGACATTTTTATGTTTAACGTTCTTTTTTATAGATACAAGTATTTAAGTAAATGCTCTGTTTATAATAAACAGTATTAAATAACATTTACCGGCCTGAATGTCCGAGAAATTTTCATAGAAAATATTCGTCCTTTGACAGGATTCGAACCTGCATCCTATACGGAACCATCATTTACGCTGACGTGCCTAACCTTTCGGCCACAAAGGAGCGTTCAGTAGGCAAGGTCGAATTTACTGCTTATAAACTTCAATCTTCCATGAATCTCGTACATTCATAACTGCTCTGGCGTATCAAATGTAAACAAATGATGTCATATATTAAGAAATGGACAAAGTCCGACAATTTATTTATTAAAGACATATTTTTTATATGACGTCATTTGTTTACATTTATTATAAACAGAGCATTTACTTAAATACTTGTATCTATAAAAAAGAACGTTAAACATAAAAATGTCTTTAATAAATAAATTGTCGGACTTTGTCCATTTCTTAATATATATATATTTATATATATATATATATATATATATATATATATATGCATGCATGCATCTTGGTATCAGTCACTTTCCCACTACCATAATAAAGTTGCATCCCTGTACATTTTCTATGAAAACTTTCATGGTAATTGTTTGGATGAGCTCTTCACTATGGTACCTAGACTTTATAAATTTAAGTACACAACTAGGTTAGCAACAATGTCTTATCAATTCACCATTGAAATGACTAGATACAACTAAGTTCTATGCTAACAGTTTCTTTTCTCGCACTTCTCACTTGTGGAACTATTTTCAGATTCCTTGTTTTCCTGCCAACTTTGATCTTCAAAAATTAAAATGCAATGTCAATCATTTTCTACTGTCTTTCTGATGATTCTTCTATTGTTCTCACTCCTTAATAATGTTTGTTTTCTAATTCTTTTACACCAAGTCACCTCTTGTGACTTTATTACCTTGCTTGTGGTGAATTAGAACAAAAATATGGATAAGAACAAGATTTAGATTTTTCACTAATATGTTTGGAATGCACCTTTTGAGTTGGACAATCTTGGAAATGGGGTGATGATAATCTGACATAAGTTGAATAAGGTGTATTTGGCAAAAAATGTTGAGAGACAATGGTCTAGGAGGTACTCTATTTTTCTTTGTGTCTACCATCAACACAGTATCATCTGTACATCTTATATTGTTAAGATCTCACCTACTGATAATAAATCCTGGACGAGTCTCCAGTTCCCTCAGGATAGCAGTAGTTTAATTTTTTTTTTTTTATGTCATGTCCCTTCAGGATGTAGGCAACCATGGCTTACCACATATTCCTTTTCTTTATTATCATGGAATTTCTATGCCTTCCTGAGAAATATAGTAGTTTCCAATTGCCTTCCTATGGTTTGGAATTCAGTTTTATCTCTTTTCCAGGTTGCCAGCCAAGGCTACAGAGCTTAGTCTATCCAGCTATTTAACTTATAGCCAGAGTTGAGAGGAGGAGAAACAGATTTACCCCTTTAAAAAGTTGTTCATGTAAAAGTAAACAAAACCAACTAGGATGGAATTTGAACCCTGCAACCTGATTCTCCTTCCTCTACTTATAACCAGTATGCTGCCAACACAAAAATAATAACTGTCTGATAAATATATTAAAAAAAAAAAAAACAGGAAACATTATCAAATGAAATTCCCTTTATCTGGAAAAAGCTATTAATAATGATGAAAGTTACAAGACAAATATGTAGATTAATGTAATAGAGATGTGCAAAATGGGCGTTTGTTAGTGTTATGACCACAGTGATAAGCAGTTGGTATTTATTTAAGTGGAGTTTGATACAAGATAGTTTTATTATGGGTCTTTCTAATAATATATTATATATATATATATATATATATGCAGTGGTATCTTGGGGATAATCACAGACATCATTAAATATTCTGGTCACAGTCATCATCAAATATACAAGCCATAGACGTTATCAAATATACAAGTCACAGAAATTATCCAATATGTTGATCAAAGACATCATGAAATGTACAAGTCACAGATATAGTTAGTCAAAAGTATCATCAAATCTATTAGCCAAAGAAATCATTTCATGTATTAGTCAAAGAAAATTATCAAATCAACTAGTCACAGGCATAATCAAATTTACTAATCTTAGTCTACTGTCAAACAATAACAGTGTGCCTTGAAACACTATCAAAAAGTATATATTTGTTGTAGCATACCTATGGACAATAATGGGTATGTCCCCATTCACATAAATACAGTAGTAAATACTGTATGTTGGTCTGCAGCTGGAGATTCATTGTGGAATTCACTTGAATCACTTCTAGCAGTTGACTACTTCTACACGCCGCTGGCAAATCTTATATGTGTTGTTCTTGTCCTAAGTATTATCGTTCATTACCAACCTTCATATGATTATTCTACTCAATAACCTTCCCTAGGTTACAACAATATTTATCATTTAAGGAAATAGGTTTTAAAATTTTATCTCCATTTTTAAGGATGTTCATATTTATAACCAACAGAATTAGAAATTAATTATTGACATATTTATCCAAATTTGCTGTTTGTATTATTTCCAAAAATAGAGACTCTTTTAGAGAAACTTAAGTTTAAAAAGCCAAGTAGAACCTTTTATTAAAAATAAATAAAAGTGTATTCTTATCCTTGTAAAATATATGTGAAATGATGCAATTGTTGATGCAATCTTTCCTTAATAGTTAATCTGTTATCTGATAATCATACAGTAAAAATATCTGTATGTACTCTTTTATATACATAGATATATAAGTAAATCCACTTATAAATCAAGCATAAGTGAATTCATGGGTAGATCTATTTTAAAAAGCTTGTTTGTATTGATTCTACCAAACTGAATAAACTTTGCTTACCTCAAAAATATTCATTAAAAGGATGACATTCAGTATCGGAAAACATGAGCTCTGGTTAAATTCCCAACAAATAAAACTCTTGTCAAATCCAGTATATTATCAGAAGAGACATTTGTTGCATTTTCTGGACCTGGGACATTGAAAAAAGAAATTGAGTTGGTCATAAAAGAACACTAACATACAAAAAATATTTTTTGAAATATTATCTGGTAAAAGTCAAGAATAAGATAAAATAAGAAAAAATATTAAAGCATTTTAAAATTCAAAATAAATTATATATATATGATAAATATGATTTAAAATGGATTATATATACATGACTTTATATATTGTTAAAGTGTATAAATTTGGTCCTTATATATATTATAGATGTAATAAGACAATCACATTTTTATGGGGTATTTATCAAATAATATGAACTGATTTATGGATGCTATAGGTTTATTTTTTTTGTGTTTTATCCACAGTAGGTGTTGAAAATTTCCTACTGTGAATATTGTCTCAAAGATTACCTGTCTGTGTAGTAAGATTTTGTGTATCAAAATGTGTTTGTATGTGTAAAGTATGGAGCCTTAATAGAAGACTGAGTTCATAAAACCTTTGTCAGATTTAATTGAATTTTCAATAACAAAATATTAGAAAATAAAATTAATCAAATCTCTAATCATGAGATATTAGAAAATAAAATTAGTTTAAGCCAACAAGCAAAAAAATATCAGATTGAAAGAGAGACAAGCTGACAAACTGATGAAGAAAATAATATTTGAAAAATAGAAGAAAGACATGAATATAAGTAACTTGGAAATAAATTAATGAGGAAATAAGATATTCTCTTTCATTTTTGTATTCACACTTTACTTTTGTATGAATATAAAAATTGAAAGAATTTAACAAAACAAAAACAAATTAAAAATATATACTTCCTGCCTTTGTTCTTTGTATTTTTCATTCCCTATCAGAAAAAACCCCCAAAATGAACCAAAAAATATAGATAAAAAGAAAAGTGTGAGAAAAATAAAGAGGTTTCTCAAAAGAAGTAAATAAGCAAAAATAAAAAAAATGGAATGAAGAAAGATGACCAAAGAGGAAAGAAAGGAAGAAATAAAGAAAATAAAGCATAAAAGAAACAAAATATAAATGAACAAATAAAGAAAGAAATGAAATGAGGAGGGATGACCAAAGAGAAATAAAAGAAATAAAGAAAAGCCTTAAAAGAAAAAATAAAAGAAAAAATATAACAAATAAATAAAAAAAAGAAGAAATGGGAATATTATCAAACAATAAAAAATTTTCTGAAAAAGATGCAGAAAAAGAAAAAAATTAAATTTTCTTCAAACAAATAAATGAAACAGCTAAGTGCATATAAAAAGCTTGGGGTGTAAGAAAAAGCAGGTGTAAAGTGAAGATAAGTGTGTAAGAAAAGCTAGATGTTTAAGTTGAGTCTCTAAGAAAAGCTAAGTTTCTTAAAAATCTAAATGCATAAGAAAAGGTAGGTGTAAGTAAAGCTAAATACCTAAGTGTTCAAGAGAAGCAAATTGTTCAAGAAAAGGTAGGTGTTCAATAAAAGGTAGGTATAAGAAAAGCTAAATACCGAAGTGTTCAGGAAAAGCTCAGAGCATGAAAATTAACTGAAAATCTGATAATGTATGGAAAAAAAAAGAGTAGGAGGGGAGGAAAGAAGAAAGGAGGAAGTAATGGAAGGTAGAAGAGAAGAGAGTAGCTTAATTGTGAATAATCAACAAAAGATGGCAAAAAGAATTAAATTAAGAAAAAATAGCACTATAGAATTTAGGATTGAAGTGACAAGTATCTAAAAAAAAAAAAGAAAGAAAGAATGAAAAATATGATGCATAGAACAACTAAGAGATAATTAAAGCAGGAGACAAAGAATGTAAAAGGATGATCCAACTATGAAAGATATAGGCTTGGTGTATGAATATCACTTTACTTATATCTCAAGATATGGTGTAAGGTGTCTGATTGCTATTGCACATGGAGAAAGAGATTATGAAAGTGAAACAAGAAGAGAAATATGGCAGGAGAAATGTAAAAAGATAGGAAGGGATGAAATTAGATTGGAAAAAAAAAATTGTCAACTCAGCAATAAATGTTGATAGGGCAGGTAGTAGGTGAGAAGTAGGAACTGAAAGAAAGAAAAATCATATTGAGATTTAATTGGGGAAAAAAGGGGAACTGAATGAAATCAAGGAGAGAAAGAGAAATAAGGGACAGCAACAACTATTATGTCTATGAAAACAAAAACAGAGCAAAAATTTAGAAGCAGTTACAAAACTGGAAGAAAGAAAGAAAGAAGAAAAGATGAAATATGATAAAATTCAAAAAGAAGTAAAAAAAAAAAAAAGATAGCAAAGAAAAAATAATGCAGAGGTAAAGTAAAAAAGGATAAACAAAAATGAAAAAAAATTAAAACTGAAAAAGAAAAAAATTTTAAAGAGCAAAAAAGGTGAAGAGAATTTGGCAGTGAATAGGGAAAAAGTAAAAGAAGAAGAGAGAAGAAGGCTTAGATGCTGAAGTATTAAAGAGTTTTTGAGAGAAACAAAGTAACTGAAAGAAACAATCTGAAAGAAACAAAGGAACAAAAAACAAAAAAAAACCCCAAAAAAAACAAAGAAATAATGGAAAGAGAAATAAATTAGAAAGAAAAATAAACAATGAAGCAGAAACAAATAAACAAGAAAGAAAAAAAAAGAAAGCAGAAATTGGTGAGGAGAGAGAAATAAAGAAGCAAAAAGAATCATGGGAAAGAGAAAGGAAGAAGCAAGGAAAAAAAAGAAAATAGTAATAAAGAAAGAAACTAGGAAGGAAAAAAGAAACAAGAGTTTAACAAAACAAAATACCTTGAAGTAGAATTAAAAAGAAGAAAAAATGTTCAAAGATATGTAAGAATAAAAAAAGAATAAAAAACGTTTTGGTGTAAAAGACATAAATTATTAATGATATTTTGATGAAGAAGAAATTGAAGGAATAATCATACAGAGGCCAAAAATCAGTGAAGGTTTGTAAGAAAGGATATAATTAAAAAGTGAAATAATGAGAAGGCAAAAAAGAGGAGATTATTATGCTGCCAAAAAAGAAGTTAAACATTTACAAATGCAATATTAGATAAATCACATGAAACTAGAAAAATAAAAACAAATGAAGGAAAAGGTTTTGGGAATCAATCAATAAGTCAAATAGATAGATAGATTTTTAAATCATTTCACTCTAAGCAAGGCAACAAAGCCACCAAGACAAAAGGGGTTACTGAGTGTGAGAGAATATGAGAAAAAAGAGAAACATTATTAAGGAATGAGAATAGTAAAAGAAAATGAATCAAGAAGACAGTAGGTTACGATTGACATTGCATCTCAATTATTGAAGACCAAGGTTGGTTGGAAAGCAAAAAGTCAGAAGAGAGTTCCACAAGAGAGAAGTGCAAGAAAATAAACATGGAATTTACAGTTACATCTAGCCATTTCAACTATAAATTGATGAGACCTTTTTGCCAATCTAGTACTTCCTCTATGGTATCTAGGCTTCATGAAGTCTAGGTACCACAGAGGAAGGTTCATCAGAACAATTATCATGAAAGTATTTATAGAAAAGACAAAGGAAAGCTACATCAGGGTGGTAGGAAAATGACTGAAGCTGAGAGGCCAAGTCAGGACAAATAACACTGTAAATTCTTCTTTGAATTTTATCAAGACTCTCTGAATATATAGCAGAAGCACCAGTCCAGATGTGGTAGCAATATTTAAAGCATGGTAGACTTACAAATATATAAAATATATTCTGGAGAGATTAAATTACAGTGAACTAACTTTCCTAGCAGTAGATCTATCAAATGATTCAATATAATGTTTTCACTTCGTATCAGCAGAAATGTTAGCCTGAGAACGTGCAATGGGTTCCTTTCCTCGGGGGTTAGAATCATCCATGCTGATGGACGTCAGAAATGGGTCTCTCAGACAATCAATAGAGAGAAGTTTCATATTGGGGGTATTAAAATTAACAAGCCATTTCTTTCCTCGGTTAACAGCAGATTGCAGAGTTTATTTTTTGAATCAGCTGCCAATCTAAACTTATCAAACTTACAGTTAAAACAGAAGTAAATAGCCGTGTCATCAGTATAGATACCCTGTTGAAAACTGATGCCATCAGGAAGGTTATTGATGAAAATTAAGAACAATGTGGGTTCAAGGCTAGAGCGCTGTGGACACCTGCATTATTGCAAAAGACCTATGAGAGGGAATGTTCAAGACAAGTTTCATTTTGTGATTTGCTAAGAAAGACTGAATAACTTCAAAAATTTGTCCAGGAATACCATAACCTTTCAAACTGTGAAGAGAACCAGGATATCAAACCCTGTCAAATGCCATCGAGATATCCAAAACAATAGGCCAAACTTCACCATTCTTATTTAAAGCTTGATAGACTCTTTCAGCAATAATCATTAATACATCAGCAGTTGACATAGAAGTGAAAGCCATATTGCTTATCTGAAAGAGCACTCTGTAATGTGAGATGCTTAGCCAATTCAGAGTTGATTAGTCCCTCTAGCACTTTGCAAAAAAGAGGTAAAAGGCTAAGAGGCTGACAGAAGAATAAAATGGTTTGTCTGTTTTCTTAAAGACTGGAACTACAGAAGAGGATTTTCCAACAAGAAAGAAAGCAAGAATCAGCAAGGCAATTATTGTAGAGTTTAGAGTGCACCAGAGACACTTCAGGAGCACATTTCTTAAGGATTATTGCAGGGATTCCATCAGGTCCACATGCATTGTGGGGATTCAATTTAGAGATGACAGCAGAAACCATGGATGGAGTTATATGAACATCACTCAACAGGGACTCAATTCTAAGTGGGAAGTCAGACAAGGATACTCCAGATGAGTCAAGAGTAAAATTTGAAGAGAATTTATGGGCAAAATGATCTGTTCTATCAGTAAATGTTAACATATCCAATTAAATGAAGAGAGAAGGAATAGAAGACTTACTCTTATTTAAGACACTATTACAGAGCCACCACCATGTTAGAGGTTATATGGTACCAGCAAACAGAGACTTAGCCCTTCAAGGACACAGTTGTTATGTGCAGACACAAATAGGCTTCTGTTGTGACCAGAATTGTCATACTGGTATAACCGTAAAAGGGATTCCTGAGGGCTACAGCAGCTGAACAGGCCAGCGTGAACAATGGAGATATTTTATTGATGTTAAAATGAACAGACTGTTTAAAGGTAGCAGGATGATATGAAAGCAATGTTCCTAGGAAGAGAGTCTGTTTAAAAAATAAGTACTTGTAATGCCATTGTTGATGTGCAGGTGTTGTATTGGTTAAATTTTTGAAACAAGTAATCGACCAGCTGAGTTCAAGATTCAGTCAAGATCATTGAATTCACTTTTACACAAATACCCTTAGGTACCTATTCTCCTCTCAGCTATGAGTTAAATAGTAAGGCAGACAGAACTCTCTAGCCATGGTTGGCAACCAGTATAGGAGAAAGAATACTCCGAATAAGTGTGGCACATACTAGAACTGTATCTGAAGTCCACTCAGCCTACTTGTAATATAAGCCACAGGCTGACTTTGTGGGTGTTGAATAAGCATAAATGGGTCTGGGCAGATGGGTAGGCCTGGAATTGAGAAATCACACTGATTTAGAGTATGCATTCAAGTTGAAACAGCTCTGGCAATGATGATGTAATGCTATTCTTTGATGCAAAAATAACTGCTAATACTACAAATAAATGTACAACCATGTTTACCAGAAAACTGGATTTTAGAAAGATAGAATAAATGAAATCAATGAAGAGATAAATGAAATGAGCCAATAACAGATAAATAAACAGAATATTTGATGATACTGATTGATTTATTGCAATTCAACAGATGCAGACACTACAAAGTAGAACTAAAAAAAGTGTGTAGGTATAAAAATTCAAATGTAAATAAAAATATATCTCTAAAAAGTCAGTATGAATAATGACAAAAGGAAAACTTTACTTTAACAATCAGTTTAAAACAATCTAAACATGCCACACTTATTAAAACAGAAAACAAATTGGACAGAAAGATCTTGAGAGTGTCACTATCAGGTTTTGCCAAAACATTAACTTCACTCCAGATTATTTCAAATATCTTCTTTCCTAAAAGAAATATTTCTTCACCAAGCCAATATACGTGATTATAATTTTTTTAAATTTCAAAGAAAACTGTAAAATCAAATTGAAATAAAATAAATTCAACAATATCCATATTTACTCACTTTCGTTTATTAGGCATTAAATTACATCATTTAGCATCCTCCATAGTTTACCTTGACTTTCACAGTTAGCCCTAAGAATATTTTTGATCATTCTTAAATTTCAAATATTTTTAAACTTCACAATATTTTTAATTCTGTCTATAAATACAAGTTTCAAAATATAATCCTTATATTTACCTTGATAAAGTCCATCAAAGGACAAAACGTGCTTGTAAAGAAAGGTTTTACTTTTGTCATATATATATACTAGCAGCATGGCCCGGCGTTGCCCGTGCTTGATTCAAAAAACGTATGACTCATACAGCAATTGCTATCACTTGACTTAAAATATTTTTGCTATTTTTTCTAAGCTCTATACTAAACATTAAATCTGTTATGAAAAAAGAACTAAACAAAATGAACACAAAATGATCAGCTTTATAAAAGGACTCGTGACTGGAAAAACCAAATGAAAAAAGAATGTTAACAACAAATACTTTTTCACACCCAACCCAGTTCTGCGGTATCAGAATCAGTTCAGTTTAAGCAAGCAAATGACCCAATTGGAGTAAAGTGCCATGGAGATTTAAATTTTTCCCACTTGTGACGAATGCAGCTATCGATTTTTTTTGCTTGCTAGCATGCTAGTTAACATTCATATTAGTCAGCTGTTGGCTCTCACACTGGCCAATAGAATCTTCCTGCCTATTCGTGGCAGCCAGTTATAGGCTCTCACTCTGGCCAGTAGAAAATGGCTGCAAACTACATGAAAACTGCCGTAGAAGCATGAAAAATTGATTATTTCCATTATCAATGAGAGTTGGGAAATGCAAAGTTGGTCTTGGTCTTCCTGCTAACTTGGAGCATATGCATGTAAATTTTGGTGCAAATCTGTTGAAAATTGCGGCCGTGCATTCGTTACACACACATCTTGCCTTTTATTTATATATATATATATATATATTAAAATCAGAACTGAAACAGTATTTGATCAATTCCTTAAATACTTCAGTATATGATTATATGATAAATATACAATGTTTATTTTATTGTTATATATCTACTTTTGTTTTCTGTTTACTTTTTTTTTCACTACAAGTTGGTTTCAACTGTTAATTTGGCATGCATATGTACTGCACTCCTGGTTGATTGCATTGATATGTACACTACAGGTGTATATATGAGTTACTCAAAGGTTAGTGTGTGTGTGTGTGTGTGTGTATATATATATATATATATATATATATATATATATATATATATGAAGAAAAATATACAGAAAAAACAAACAAAAATCTTAATATGCAATTATGCTGTATTAATGTTAATATGAAGTCAACGTCGGACGTTTTGGTCTATTTTAGACCATCATCAGGACATATTCATAAAACATAATTAACATTAGAACATATAAAATTCAACATGAAAAGACGATGGACATAAGAGCACAACTAATCCAAACAGATAACTGAAATTTTTATATAAGATCAGCGTTCCGTTTAAATATGATCACGATGTCGTCACGTGGGCGATGTTGTGAAAACGTATTCGAAGATGATTTCAAAATATTAAAATATTAAACAAGTTTGATTGAACTATTTTCTCATATAAACAGTTCAAGAAATCTCTTCCGTTGATATAGGAATACGCAGAGATCAATAGGTTCTTATATCTTCATACAAGCTTGAAGTCCTCCACGTTACAAAGCAAATCAAAAATGATTTCAAAATATTAGACATGCACGATGGAACAATTTTAAACAGTTCGTTAATAAATCCTTTCCTTATAGACCGAAACGTCCGACGTTGACTTTATATTAACATTAATACAGCATAATTACATATTAAGATTTTTGTTTGATTTTTCTGTATATTTTTCTTCATACTGTCAGATATATATCTCGGAGGCATGGTGGAGTAATGGATAGCGGCTTGGATTGAGGAATCGCAGAGCCGAGTTCAAATTCCAGTCGAATCCATTACATTCACTTACGTGCTAATACCCTTGGGAAAGGTATGAATCCTCTTCTTCTCCCTCCAGCTATGGGTAAAATAGCAGGACAGACTGGGTTCTATAGCCTTGAATGGCAACTGGTCTAGGAGATGGACAACTCTGAATTCAAAACCTGCGGAGGGTCGTTTGGGGACCTTGTGGCACTTAGTGCACCAGGTCTCTGTATTCGTCCCTTCAAAAAGTGTAGATGGTCTTGCACGAAGCCTTTACCACCATAATCAAATCTCATGTGTCATTGTCAGGCTGTCGGTTTCCTGGAAACTGATCTGCTTGACCCTCATACGTCGAATTCAACAGGAGAGTCGACTATATATATATATATATATGGTGTGTGTGTGTATTATAGGCCCCACTCTGGAATTTAAAGGTTGCGTTTTTTGTTTTTTTTTAAATTGCATAAAATTTTTCTTTCAAATTTTATCTATTTTTGCCTCATCTATCTCAGTGGCACTAATGTTAATCTTAGGTCTAGGAAATTTAAAATTTAGGTAATGCTAAAAAAAACTGTCTAAAAAATTGGACACTATGGACTAATGGGTTAAATAATTTCAGAATTCAAGCTTAAGCAAAGAAGGTCTGAAACTAATCCAAACATTTTGACCAAGAGTGAGGACATATATTCTATACAGGGTGTGGCAAAAATACCTTCCACATTTTAAAATGTTGAAATGTTGGAGGTATTTCTGCTGAACCCTGTGTGTAACAAATATTTATAAAAAAGAAATAAAATAAAAGATTTTAAAAGTTTGTGATCATAAAAAAATAGATAATTACTTCAATAGATAGGTTTTAAGTTTAACACATTTTTAAGCAACTAAAAACTTCCTCTTATTTATACACTGTTACACATAAGTCTAAATTGGTGTATAAATGTGCCCTCTCTCTCACACACACTTTCAAAAATAGAGTAAAATCTAGTTAGAGAATGAAGTCATCAAAATGCATACACACTTTAACTATATTTTAGGTACAGGCTTACACATGTACAAACATGCATAAATACACACAAACACACACATATATATATATATATATATATATATATGAATTATTGTCTTATTCTGTGTGTGTGTGCTACATACATACATAGAGATATGTTTGTGTACAAGTTATGTATCTAAATAGATAAAAGTAATAAAAGTAATGAGCAAAGGAAAGTGGGAACAAAAGTCTAATGGTTGAAAATGTTTGTTATTTCAACTCGGAAGTTGGCTGAAGACAACACATCAGATGAGATCAAAGAAACTATAAAACCCATTGTTTGCTGATGTTTCAGTAAAGTCCATACTTTGTTTTCAATCCAGACAGAGAAATGAGGCATCAAATACTAGCAGACAATTATACTCTCTCTCTCTGTCATATATATATATATATATATATATATATATATATAGTGTGTGTGTGTGTCTCAGCTTATTTAAACATAGGTGAATATAACAAATAGACATATATAGCATGTATAACACACACAAAATATAATACACTAGTAACAATAGACATGCCTAATGCTTTTACACCAACCAAAATTTTAAATTTCAGTTTATTTTCATAAAATGTTTCGCACATGGAGGAATCAGGCAGAGATCTGGTTTTTGCTAATAATACGATTTGCACTGGAAAATACCCCATCTACAAATCATCTGTTGGTGAGTAACTCCCATTTCTCTTTTTGTTCCTTGAACCATTGATGAAGGACACAGGCATATCTGAAAATTCTGAACATAAAACTTATTCCTGTGCTTCATTTCTGTCATATGGTTAATATTTAATAAATGTTTATCATACTGATTATATTGGTACCCTTTCATTTGTCCTTGTTTTATTAACCAACCTATATATATATATATATATATATATATATATATACACATACATATATATATATATATAAATAAAAACATGACTTTTTTTTCACAGTGTATAAAAGCAAAAATACACAAATAGAAAAAAGTTCTACATTCAAGTATATACAGGAGTAGATTTATAATCATACTTTGAAGAGCGGGTAAAAAGTTTGACAACTTATACAGTAAGTTGGAGAATTTGATTTACTATATCCACCTCTGTATCATGTTGATAACCCTCTCTTGCTTCATCCGTTGATGGACCCTCCTTCTACCAATCTTCTGTTCTAGTATTTATTGGACTTTTCCATTCATTTTTCTTCCTGTAACTCATTCACTAGCTTTTTTTACTTAGCTCTTTCCTATAAGGATTACCTTGTCAATAATTTGACCATTCTAATTATTTAGGATTGCTTTGAAACTTAATACTGTCACAAACTTTCTTTTCAAAGCTGTTATTTACACCACATAATAGATATGAGAAGTAAAAGAAACTGAACACATGAACTGAGTTAACAGTTTCTTTTATAAGTTTATGCTAATTAGCCACACCCTGATCTCAGCTGTAAATCATTTTGCTTATCCATATCAACAAGCTCATGATATAATTTCTAGGCCTTTGGGCCAGGATGAAAGGATTTTTAAATGAGAGAAGGCGCCATTGTACTAAGAGAGATGAGTTCAGAGTAATATCAATACCAGCATGATAGTTTTATTTTTCAATTGTTCTGTTTCATCCCCGGTAGCTCAACCACAAAAATTTAAGCATACTACTAAATTGGTAACTAGGTCTCACTCTTTTACTGTTGAAATAGTGAGACATGACCATGAGTTCTATTTTAATATCTTATCTACTACTTCTCACATGTAAAATTCTTTTCTGATTTCTTTATTTATTTTCATCTACTGACCTGAATATTAAAAAAAATCTTATTAAAGAAAAATCTGCACTCTCTGGTAGATTTTGAAACAGCATTTCCCTGGAACAAATATATGCATTTTAATGCATATAAATATATAATAAAACAAAGGAAGTGGAAGAGCAAGAATAAAGAAAAGAAAACAATTTACTCAATGTGTAATGGGGGGCGGGGATCAAAATGTATGACAAAAATAAACAACAGAAAAACTCTTGTTTTCAATTCCCAACCTATGTTGGAATCCATTTGTAAAGATGTTCTGACCCTCCCCACCAACAGGTCAAGTCTATGATTTATGATTTTGAATTAATATGTGATGCTGATTATACTGACTGAACTAATTAAAAGTTGAAGGCGAAGAATGATCAGCATGTACCAGCTAAGATCAGTTCATAAGATGAAAATTTGAATACACTTGTTAATACTTCTAGTTCTGCAATTGAAGAAAACTCAATAAATAATTTGATTTTTACCATATATTTTAAGAGAAATTTTTCACATTAGTCATAAAAGAACATTTGGATTACCATTTGAGAGTACTTGAATTCCTGTATATTAAGTCTAAGCAATCTTCCCTCTGTAAGGAAATGGTTGTTGGGTCTAAATGTACTGATTCTCTGTTTTATTAATTCTTTGCTCCCCACTTTTTGGGGTCATTATGCACATATACATAAGTTTTGTCCTTGACTAAAATCTGAAGTGCAAGGAACGATAACTGGTGGGCCATTTTTTATTGTTTTTTATGCTATTTTTTTCAGCCACCACTTCACATGAAGTAATTTTTTTCCCTTTCTTGATCTCTGCTATGTCTCCCTCTTTGTTCTCTATATATATATATATATATATATATATATATATATATATTTAATATAAATGTCTGTTTTTAAATCCCTAATTATATTTTTCTAATAGTGGGAAAATAGGATGATATCTTTTGCTAAATTTGCATAATATAAATTATATTATAACAGATGAAAATTATTTTTGTTTGCTTGTTTTTTAACTGCATTTTTCATGTAATTACAAAACAAGCCAACAAAAATATGTTTTAATTTATAAGATTCAGTAGAAAAAAATGAAATGAATTCCTCTCTCATTTCAAGCTGAAATAAATGTTGAAAGTTGTTGAATTTAGATTTATTTTTATTTGTTTTCCAACCGTTAAGTTTTTAGACAGCCGGTTTAACATGTCAGTTTATTAGCCGTTGAACTGCAGCTCAAATTGTGGCTTGAAACTGACTTGAAGGACTCTAGTGGAAAATTTACAAACTAATGTCAGCAGATTCAAAATGTACCAGATTGCAGTAATTTATAAACTACAGAGAACAAGGTAAGAGGCCTGAAATCTGTACTGACTTGATCAGCATATATGCTAATTTAATAGGTTGATTTGTAACTATCAGTGGGAAATTGTTCCACCATTTTGGAGCAATAATTAAACAACAATCAAAGCTGGAAATACTCCACTTCTCTCATCACGTTTCATCAGTTGGTAAAGTAAAGCCTATATTTTCTGATATTTAAAAAGAAAGCTGCTAATTGAATCTCATTAAGAGGAACACAATAACTGCAGAATAATATGTTACCTTGTTAAAACACACATGCATGAAAACATCAAAGGTAAGAATCTTAGATTTTTCATCAAGTCTTATAAGGATAATGCATTTGCTGAAATGACTGCATTACTGAAACATTTTTGATGATCTGATTTAGAACAACTTGTTTTGAAAATAAATTTAGCAAATAAATATTATGCTGATGAAGAAACATTATTTCAACTGTCAACTTCTAGAAAGAAAACTTCTCCAATGGAAGAGAGGTAATCAATGTTAGACTAAGAAAAGTAAGTGCAACACAGGATTATTTTTTAAATATCATGTAGTCATTCAAATGTCAGGATGTAGGTAATCAAAGCTCTTCACAGATTTCTTTATTATCTATGAATTGACATAACTTCTTTGGAAAGATAGTGGAGTTGTTTCTAGTTGCCTTCTTCACAGATTACTTTCCTTTTTTATCTATGAATTGTTATGACATTTTTGGGGGAAAGACGGTGGTTTCTTGTTGCCTTTTCCACAAATTCCTTTTCTTTTTTTATCTATGAACTGGTATGACTTCTTTGGAAAAATAATAGAGTTATTTCCAGTTGCCTTCTCCTCCATTTAGAAGTCTTAGTTTTCTTTCTTTGAGACTGGTAGCTATCCAATGCTAAAAAGCCCACTTGACCCTGCAGTAACCCATGAATGCTGAGATAAGAGATGAATTCTTGCTTTACTCAAGGGTATTAGTGTCAAAGTGAACACAGCAAAATAAGATGGATTTTGAACTCAGTTCACTGATTCAATGTTCTTTACCAATATCTGTTACACTACCTATAAACTTAAAGTGGACTATATAAAGCTCAAATTAAAACTTAGACAGGATTAATAACCTACATTTCTCAGGAGTAAAATAAAATAGTGCATTGATATTATTCTTCTGAGTATTAGTTACAAACAGTGTTGACTTATCAGTGGACTCACAGGATCTCTAAATACATCTTTCTTTTTATGTACCATGTCCTTTCGTGATATAGGCGATCACGGCTCTCCACATCCCTCAATTCCTTGCAGCTCTCAACAAGTTCCTCCCCTCTGCTTCCTCCTACAGACAACATTCTGTCATCCACTTGCTTAAGTTCGCCAGGTATGTCACACATTGTTTTCCCTTGTCTCTCTTTCCCTCTATTCAACCCCTGAGTCACACTCAGAGGACATATCAAAGACAAGAGAAAGAGGGGGGACAAAAGGTCACCTATCTGATGAGCTTGTATGAATGGATGGCTGAATGGCCAGTAGATGGGGGGGGTGGCAAAAAGCCAAACTTTACCAAGAGCTACAAGTGATACGAAGTTGTGTAAAATCAAGAAAAATAAGAAAACTTGAAATTTATATCTTTTTTTATATTTCTTAACAAAAATGGTTAATGGTTGTCTTCAAAGAAATCACTAGTTCAGTCAAGCAAGCTATTGGCAGCAAGTAAATTCATGACATAGGTGACCCATTACTGTGACTCTCTAGTGGATTAAGTTCAGTAAATAGCTACAGTTTTTAATTTAACTATCTAAATTATATGAATTAGCTGAACCTGTGTTAATTCCACAAGTAATGACAATTATAATTAGCTATTATCTCATGCATTTGCTATTTTTTCAGTCTTTGCCTGTATCTTCTCATTCTTTCCCTTATCCTTTCAAGTTTTCATTCTTTACACATGTTCGTCTTGTTTCGTTTTCCTCATGTTGAGAGTGCTCTTTTCCAACTGAGAAAAAGTTGGTGTTATATAGCTCTCTCAGTCTTTGACCCATGTATCTATTGGCTAAGAACAGTCAATTATGGAAGGGGACATAACTCCTGGTGCTTACTGCACCACACACACCCAACTCTTGGTCTCTTGTCAGGTTGACCAGATTCTCTGTTACAGTGTCATGCAAACAGATAAATACATAAAAAAGAAACAACAAATGCACAAATATTTTTACTTAATGTCTCTTTATATCCACACAGTAAGCATGACTTGATATATTTTTGTTGCTGTTCCTTTTCCATATACATGTATATGACACTGTGGACATAGGACTCAACATTGCATGGTAACTGTCAGTTCCATGCATCAATGCAGTGACGTGACCATTCCTTGTAAATGATGTTCCACTTAACTAAATTTCTTTTTCACCCCAGCTTTGTTATTTCCTACTTTTAATCCATTTTCTTCTTTCACTTTTCCGTACTTCTTTCGTAATTAGATAATCATAGAAGTTTCCAATTAGAAAGGCTGAGGATGAAACAGATACCACACTCTGATCCTCCGTAGAAAAACATAATAGTTGTATGTCAAGACAAGCAGAATAATAGTACAGATTATGAATTTCATTCACAGAAACACTTCTTTTTTTTCTCTAAAGCATTCAAAAGTTATATTTCTAATGTAAAAATTTCATTAAAGGTTTTACTTTTTCTTTTAATTTATTTATCTTACAAATATATTTTTCTCTCTTGTTGCCATCCAGTAGGATGCAGAAGTGGGGTGGGTCAGATGGTGGGAGGCCGGGGCATCCATATTGGGAGTCTATCCAATCAAGGAGTAAAAAAATTGTTTTTTGAAATTTGAAATTGTCTCTGTTAACTTCATTGTACAAGTGCTACAAACCTCTGCATGTCACTGTTGCCATCCATCCTCAGTGGGATATAAAACAACTTTTGTATGTCTCTTTCTCTTTACTTTTCTAAAAGTTTTAAAATTCAACAGGTTTTGTTTGTGTTGTTTTATGGCATATCAGCCTCAATGGGTCATTTAATGCCAACAACTTTTTTTTTTCTTGGTAATATTTTTGTTTTGTCAAAAATCTATTTCTGTTAATATTTTTTTATCTCAAAAAAGTATAGCTGGTAATAATATTTTTTCAAAAACGTATAGCTGGTAATATTTTTTCAAAAATGTATTGCTGGTAATAGTTTTTTTCTTCAAAAATTTTTTTCTGATAATAATTTTTTACAAAGTATTTCTGACATTAAAACCTATTTTTACACTTTTATACTCACTTTT